GCCAATAATGTGTCAGGTCGCGAGTCAAAAGCCACTCCTCTCCAGGGCAAGGCTGACGCCTGAAGGCCAGCCAGCAGTGGCTGCCTTCCTGGTGTTGTGGGGGACACAGCAGAGGCACAGAGAGCAAGCTCTGCTGTTTGTAAATGGGGGAGTCCTTTGGTCATCTTAACCGTCTCTCGTCATCTGGGAAGGCTGAGGCATGGCGCGCAGTCAATTTGAATTTGGAAACGTCCACACAGATCTACTTGGTTCTGACATTATAGACCCAGAGGCTCGGCCAAGCCTTGTCCTGGTGATAGTACAAACACCAGAATTATAGCCTCCTGTGTCCACAACAGGTTACCACAAACAGGGTGGTGGCTTCAAACAAGAGAAATGGGTTGTCTCGCGCTTCTGGAGGGCGGGGCCAGCTCCCTCTGAAGGCTCTAAGGGAGGAAGTTCTCTTGTCTCTTCCAGGTTCTCGGTGGCTCTAGGCAGTCCCTGGGTTCTGGCTGCGTGGCTCCAGTCTCTGCCTCTGTCTCCACATGGTTTTGTCCTCTTTTCTCCGCGTGTCTCTCCTTGGTGTGCCTTTTTCAAGGACAGTTGTCATTGCATTTAGGGCCCACTTGGAAAATCCAGGATACTCGCATCTGGAGATCCCTAATTTAATTGTGCCTGCGAAGATCCCTTTCCCAAGTAACGACACATTCATAGGTTTCTGGGATTAAGAACTGGGCACACCTCTTTGGAGGCCGGCCACCACTCAACCCCACTGTACCCTTTTGTACTCAGAGAATATGGGAAAGGCGAGGAATTCCGGCTCTCGTTGGGTATAGCAGTTGTAGCTGTAAGTGAACACATAGAGAATACCAACCCCAATACTAGCATGTCATTTGAGATGAAAAGAACATCGTCCAGGGGGAAGAAATTTAAGCCAAGTCAATGGCATCGGTTTGTGATCTCTAGAAAATACCTTTCCCTCTGCTCAGTCTTGGAACTTCAAGGTCCAAGCTCTTTCTGAGTATTCTATTTTAAGGCTCTTCAGGGCTGAGCTTCATTCTCTGGACAGGGTCAAGAGAGGCCGCTGATATTGGTATTTGGTAGGTTAAAGGAGCTGAAGGGTCGACCAGAAGACCAGAAAAAGTGCCTTTGGCTGCTTGGCAGTGAGAACTCTCACAAGGCCATCCTGTTGCCTCAGCCTGAGGGGGACTCTAGGTGAGCTCAGTGATGGAGTAATGTGACTGCAAAAGCCAGGTCTTTGTTGAATTGTAAAACCTTAGAATCGGTCCTCTTATTTGACCATCGGGTTCAATGATAAGGTTTTCTGTGTGACAGTCGGCCAAGGAGTTATCCAATTCATGTTGGATATCTGGTGCATGTTCCTGCATCCACCATTAATGGTTAGTTCCTTCTTCCATCCGTTTTAACTACTAACACAGACCTCACCCTGGGTTCAATAATGGGCGCGCTGGTCCTCACCTCCCTGTGCAGTGGACCAGAATACTCCTGGAAACTGAATTCCTCTTTTCAAGTATACCGAACCTTAGTCGATGCCACACATATCTGAGAATCACAAGTCACTGCAGAAGGGACTAAATGATCTAATCTTAGCATTTGCCTTGGTATAGTTAAAAGGTACAGTTCAGAGGCAGCTGGGTAGCCAATAAAAAAAGAGCGGCTGAGAATTACTGTATTTTGCTGTGTATAATGCACTCCTGTATATAATGCACACCCACATTTTTGGCCCAATCTTTCAGGAAAAAAAATCTTTTGTTTTAACTTTGTAATTCAATTTATTTATTTATATTTAGAAACAAAACCAATGATCATATTCCAGGGTATTATTTTGCATACAGATATCATTATTGCTTTCCATAGTTACATTTTTAATGAATAAGCATAAATAAAAGACTTAAAAACATTTATATAGATATGGAATTAGTACTACCCATGTATAATGTGCATCCTTATTTTTCCCTCAGAAATATGGGCAAAAAAGTGCACATTATACACAGCAAAATACTGTAGATGGGAAACAGTGGCACCTCTTCCTACTCTGGAGATTTCTATAGGAAACTATTTCAGCTGCTGTGGGACAGGGCAGGGGATGAACTTGAAAGGAAGGGGTGGGGGAACAAGAGCATAAGGCGCAGCTTGGACCCCCCAGGGACTGCATTAGGAGAAAAGCAAGGATGAAGGGAAGAGGGAGCCATCCCGAGAAACGGACGGGCAGGAAAAACAGGAAGTAGGCCCTAGAGAACATCAGCTCCAGGCTGGAACCAATATTGCAGGGGCTGGCTGGTCCTGGGAGGGCACTGATCAGAGAGGCACATCTAAGTTAATGTGAGGGCATGGAGTGAAGACAGGAGTGCCAGAGCAAGGGAAGATGGATAGGGTGCAGGGAGGCCCCAAGGCCCAGAGGGCACTGGGAAGCAAACCAGGGACCAGGCAAAAAGCAGTCAGGAGAGGCATGGTGAGACCCAAGCCATGCACTCCTGGGTGAGGGCTGTACCCCAGCTGCTCACCCAGGTATCCCTGGGTACAGGGCAGTGCGCACTTACAGAGAACAGCCCCTGGGTGCCCATCGCTGGCTAGACATTGCTCTATTGGGGCTGAGCAGCTGGTCAGGAGCCACCCTAACAATCTCTCAGTGCGGTTTCCAATCTCAGAAAAGGGGGGTTAAGGATTTATAGTGCGAGAAGTGAAAAGGAATTAAAAAGAGGGCCCAGGACTTGACCTCATGGACAAATTACATTTTGGTAATCAGATTTTAATGCAATGTTTGTTTTTTAAAAATATATTACAATCTGAGGACTTGCTTCTCAAATATTTATTGGCTTTAAAGATTACAGAGCAGGCCGACTGGAATGACCTCTGCAAGTCCCCTGCTAGTATTCCCATTCACTGCCTTTAAATGCCCTGGTAACTGGTCATAGCAATTTAAACAAATGGCGAGGAGACGCAAGGACCAGCTGTGCAGGAGGATCCCCAGCTCGGAGCAGAGCAGGGATGCTGCAGGGATGCCGCAGGGATGCCGCAGGGATGCAGTGGTGCCCTCCTTTTCAGAGGGACGGACTTCTGCGCTGTGGCAACCCTGGGGGACAGCGCTCAACGTTCGGTTTCAGTGCTGCCCCTGGTTGGCTGGGCCAGCGTGGGAAAGCGGCTGAACTTTCCTGAGCCTCCATTTCTTCACCTGATATTTGGGATCCATCCTAGACTTCTTGGGAGGATGGGAGGATTATAAGTAACGTCTGTCCCATTTCCACCACTGCCCCAGAAACCAAGGAAGCACTCGGGACAGGGCAGCTGTTGTGACCTACGAATAAGGGAGAGGAGACACGCCGAGGACTGGTGACTGAGGGGAAACCCACAGGCCCCTGGGACCGGAGGCTGGAGTGAGGCTGGCCTCGGCCGATTTTCCTGGCTCGCGTCTCAGCAGCTTTGACTTGGGGAGGGGTTTACTGCTCTGAGTAAGCGTATATCTGACATTCACCTTGGAGGCGTGGTGCCTTCCAACCACAGATGTTGGCTGATTCTCCAGGGAAATGCCGTCTTTCCCTTGGCGACATCCTGAGAGTCACTCTCCATTCCTGGTCCTCTCCAGGTGTTCCGCTGGCCGGGGCAGCTTGACTTGCTGGCAGATCATATGGGGCTCCAAGAAAGAGGCCGGCGATTTTTCCAGAGCTTTATGTCGATGTGGAGGGGAGATATGATTTGGACAGAAGAATGCTAATAGCACTTCGGGGAGAGTTTCCTTTCATTGTCGGCTGTGTTTGCTGAGCGCTGAGAGTAGGGTGTAGGTTCAAAGGGGAGATACGTTACTCAAGGGTAGTGTTTTACCCACAGCCCCTGGTTTTGCTCATTGCAGAAATCTGCCTAGAATAACAGTGAGTAACGATGGCTGGATGATTGGAGCCATTTGGATAAAGCATTGAAAACGCACTGCTTGACAGGAATAGCTTAAATCAGAACGCAGGAATGGAATTTGTACATGCGATAAATATTTTGTGTTTGTCAACAACTTGGCTCCATAAATCTGGGAACACAAGTACGTCATGTCCTACGGACGTTCTTTTCTAAGATGCCGTCTGCAGAAGATAATCCAAAATGTGTGAAATACTTAATTCATAAAGATGTTTATCATAGAGTTATTTATAACAATGGTAAGTTAAAAATACCTTATTGCCGACAATTTGGTTAAATAATATTGAAGATGTCCACTTGATGGGATGTTATGTAGTCATTTAATTTTTAATTTTTTTAAAGATTTTATTTATTTATTTTTAGAGAGGGAAGGGAGGGGAAAAGAGAGAGAAAGAGAAACATCGATGTGTGGTTGCTGGGGGTCATGGCCTGCAACCCAGGCATGTGCCCTGACTGGGAATCAAACCTGCGATACTTTGGTTCACAGCCCGTGCTCAATCCACTGAGCTATGCCAGTCAGGGCTTATGTAGTCGTTTAAAAGTAGGGAAGCTTGAAGACAAAGCACTTTAATATATTGCTAGTGAAAAGTCTGGGCTGAACATTGAGGTACAAGGTGATTATAACTATCTCATTAATGTAGATCCATAGAAAAACACCACCAGAAAATAAACAGAAATATTTGTAAGAGTGAACAAATTCTGCTTAAATTTTCTGTAGTTTCTTAACCTAGTTGCCTCTATTTTTGTAATAAAGCAAAAAAAAAAAAGAAACACTGAGAAAGAAGAGGAAATACAATCATGGTAGTTATCATGATAAAAAAGAAGATAATGAAGAAGATGAACATTCAGATAAACACAAGAAATGGTCACAAGGGTGTGAAAAGGAAGAAACCCAGCTTGTGACACTCAGCAAAACACACCCAGCGCCAACCACGTGAGATGGAATGTGACAAACCGCCTTCGTGGGTGATACCCTCTTCTTCATCACGTCTCAGAGGCCAGCGAGTCACTGGAGTCACTGAATGCCACGTTCTGTCTCTTTGAAGCCCTCTTCCCCTCCTGGTTCCCTGACGTGTTCTGTGCTGTCTTCTGGGGTCAGGAGGATGTTAAAGAGGCCAGGCTGGAAGGGTGCCACGAGGAGCCACGGCAGCACCGGGCACTCAGGAACCCCGGGCTCACAGACCACAGACTTGATGTTTCCCGACAACAAAGCTCAGTTCTTGGACAACAAGGTATTTCTTCGCAGCAAGATTTCATTTTTAGTAAGGAGATGGGAACGGATGTGATGATCAAAATTCACAGCCCACCGTAAAACTGACAGACCTCCAGGTCTGTGCAAAGCTCTCCCCTAGAGTGGGCAGCACCCTCAGACTGCTCCTTCTTCTGGAGAAAGAAGGGTGCTGAGGTGGCTTCTGGGAGCCGTGTGGCTCTCGCTCTGAAGGAGCACAAAGTCTGTGAGTTTCAATTTCTTGGGGCCCCACCTTCAGCTTTCACTTCCCTTGTTCGTCACCAGAAGCTACAAGCCGGGGACAGTGTCCAACTCCCCAGAGGACTGCAGAAATAAAAGGTCGAAGTCAGAAAGCTCTTGTCGGTGCGAACTGACTTTTTGCATTAGTGGGGCTGCAGATCGAACTTTCCGTGACACCACGTCAGCAAGCAGCACAAACACGGGGGTGGGGCGGGCGGCGGGAGGAAAGGGAGCTTTTTTATATGGTAGCTGGGCATATGAGTCTCTCAGATGGATTTCTTTACAACTGACCTTTCTGTTTTGCTGTTTTCCACACTGCTGCTGCTATTTTCAATTTTTTTTTCCTTTGGCTACCTTGAGGCGGTCCTTTGTGTGAAACTGTCATTCCAGGGCCTTTTCCCAAAAACATTTTGGATCAGGTGCTGCCCGGTTTTCCCAGAGTGACTAAAGTGGATGATGCTGTTTGTTTCCAGCAAAGATGAGGGAATATAATGTGCTCTAGGGACGTCTCAGAGCCGGGGAAGCCATTGGTCCCACGACCGCCTTTGCTCGCTGTTCTGCCTCCTCTGGCCCTGCCTGCGTGTTCCTCCCGGCTCCTCGCTCGTCCCTGAAGAGGGAGGGGTACCTGGGGTGGGCTTGAGGTATGGCTCTGCCGCCGAGGAGCCGGCTGTCACCTCTCCCGGCCCCTGGAGTGCTCCTCCTCTAGCAGTAGGGGACAGTTACGGCAGGAACACCGAGCTGAGCTTTAGGGGCCTGTGTGGGACTCAGTGGAGGCGCTTGTGTCGGGGAGGGGCAGCGTCTTCTTAGTGTAAATGGCGTGTTGGACCCGACGATCTCTAGGCTCCCTTCTAAGGGTAGAGTTTTGTGATTCTGCCTTCTGACCCCTGGGGCACAGGCGCTCCCCTGGCCCTGGGGACGCAGCATTGACTTAAGACAGCTTTCGTGGTTCCTTCGTTTCTGGGGGCAAGGGTGGGTCCGGAGGGGGTTGGGGCAGTGAGCTGAAGCTGATGGGCTAGGGCGGGCCTCCCAGATGGGATGGCCAGGAGGGTCATTTGCCTGCTGGACTGTCTGTTCCGTGTGCGGCGGGAGGAAGGGAATCCAGGGATGGAGTGGGAAGCAGAGAGGAATGAAGAAAGGGTCAGCGGGATGGGATTTTTATCCCGAGTCTGGGTCCAGGTCACCCAAAGCTCCCAGCAAGGGGCACGCAGGCCAGGTGGCGGATCAGGGGCTGGGAGCTGTGCTGCACTGCTCTGCTCCCATCGCGCATGCGGCGCCTGGGCCCCGCCCCCCGCATTCTCGCTTTTACCCAATGGTTCTCTCTCTTCTTCCTCAGCATCGGAAGCTCAGTTCAGAGAGGTTTTTTCTTCCCCTCTGTTTAAATAACGGTTTTATTGAGATATAATCCACATACCATAAAATTTAGTATATTCACAGAGTTGTATACAATTTCTTTTGTTTGTACATGGGTGAACAAAACGTAAATAGTTTATATTGATTGTGATTTCAAATACGTCTGGACTTCCTGCTTTCCTTTCTAATTTGTCCGTTTACCATGTTTTCTTGTTTGTTTTCTGTTTGTTTCCCTCCCTGCCTTTGCTCGGATGCACTGGGCTTTCTGTATTCCCTTTTCCCTTCTTATCATGTGTAACCAAGACAAACTCCTATTCGCCAAGGTACCATTCTTGAATGTTCATCAAGAGTTTAAAATCATATATTTTTTGTTACTCTACAGTTAAATACTATTTCCCCAATAAGACAAAAATCTTAACATCCAGATTCTCCATTTCTGTTTATTAAACCCATTGGGTATTGTATTCTTATGAGCTCATTTTAGGTTTAATTGTGTTTCACTCATATTTTGGTTTGCCCCTCTATCTTTGGTACCCTGTGTATCCTTTTTCATTTTTCTGGAACACACACTGATAGTTCATGCAGGACCTGAGGGAGAGCAACCTCCTGTGTGTCCATATGTCAGAAAAAGACTTTCTTCTTCTCTCCCTCTGGAAAGCCAGTTCGGTTGAAAATAGGATTCCAAATTCAAAATCGTCTTTGAAAACCATTAAGACCTTTTCCTCAGCATGCAAATGTCAAAAGCCTGATGCTAGCTTATTTCTAATTCTTGTATAGGTAATCTGTTTTGCTTTCCCTCTATGGGAACCTTAAGAATGTTTGCTTTCATTCATTCAACACTTATTTATGAAGAAGCTATTGAGTGCAAAGCAGGGTTTCAGGTGTTCAAAGTAAAAAGATGAGCAAAGCAGAATCCCTTGTCTTTGAGGAGCCTGAATCCTAGTGGAAGGAGCAAGGACCCACATAAACAAGGAGGACCGCCTGTGGAGTATCAGTGACAAACGCCGTGAAGAGTAATGGTGTAGCGGAGGGGTGGGGGCGGGGGTGCTGGAAGGAAGTGACTCTGTGCGTGTTGCAGATATGCAGGCCAGGCCAGGAATGACTGAAATGGCCTTTAGCCACCGATGTGAAGGAGCTGGAGGACACTCCTGAGGGGGAGACTTCCTGTGCAAAGGTCCTGAGGTGGGAGCCACCAGGGATGTTTGAGGAAGAGCAAAGAGTGATCACGTTTAGTTGGACTATGCCAATGAAAGGGAGAGTCATGGGAGAGTAGATCAAAGAGATAACAATATTTACATTAATTTTAAAAACTCCATTAATTCTTCCCTGGTCAGTGTGGTGTGGCAGAAGTGTAGTTGGGAATTACCGGTCTGTGTGATAAGTGCCGAATCAGACCGAGGGGGAGTAGTATGCCCCCTGCGTGGGAGTGGAGATTGGGGAAGGCCTGTTGCAGGGAGGGGGACGATGCCCCGGTTGATTCTTGAAGGAGGAACAGGAATTAACCAGGTAAGTCAGGGCTGTTACCTGCAGACTACAGAACCCACTTAAGCTGACCTAAGGAAAATATCCTGGAGTGTCTGGGAACCGGGCGTGCGGCCACAAAGCCATGACTCCTGTAGTCCACCTCCAGCACCACCCGGAGGCGACAGTCGAAGCAGCGTGGACCCTGCCTGCAGCTTCCGGAAGTGCACGATGAGTAGTAGCACTGGGCCTCAGGGCCATACAGAGCTGACCCAGTCAGAGCACCCAGTCACGTCCCAGCCATCTGGCCCAAGTGACCTCATCTCTACGCAGTGACACACCCCTCCTGGGCCTCACTTTAGTACAACAGACTAGCAAAAACAGACTGGAGGAAAAATTCTGAACAGAAGGCAGGCCACAAAGGTTAGAAAAGATGTCCCATGCACTGACTTATAGAATCTGCTGTCAACCAAGTAAAGGACATAGGGAGGTGAGAAATCCAACACAGAGGTGCTTTCCAGATACATTGGCACACAAGTCATGTGAGTAGAACCACATTTCTTAGGGCCTCCCCTCCTTCTTAAGAGACACAAACACTTCTCCAGGAAGGACAAGGCGGGGGATGTATGACTTGGGAGACCTTGGCCAAACGACTTAACCTGCCCAGGGCTCAGTTTCTCCATCTGAAACTTGATAGTCACGCGTGCACAACACACAGGGCTGCCGGGAGGACCGAATGGGCCCACGTGCGGGCACGCCTCTCCCGTAGCACTGGGCGCGTGGAAGGGGTTTCACACGGGCTTCTTAGGCCTGCAAGAGAGAGACCGTGGCACTTTGTAAGAAAGAAGGAGGACTCGAGCCAGATAATGTGTGGTGGGTTTTACTCTCTTCTTTCCAGTGTGGGTCCTTCTAGGTCAGTAGCCCGAGGAAATGACGAGCAGAACTTACGGTGGGATGTTCATCCTTGGTTTAGCTGGGAACGCAATACCGGTTCACGTCTACTCGACGGGACCACTTTTTGCAAGCACAGAGAGTACACATCACACAGAACAAGTAGAGCAGCAGTCAGCCTTGGAAGCGGGCCGCATAGAAATTGGGTTTCATGCCCCCCAGAGCAGAGGCTGCCTGGGGTCAGGTCTTAGTCATCCCCATCCTCATCATCATTTTACATTGGTTGGGTTGAGGTAGAAACTACATGCAAGGAACTTGACCAATGTGAAGTGTGCATCTGATGAGCTTTGATGAATAATGACAGTTGTAACTGGCATGATATGAAACATTCCACCACCACCTTGTAAGTTACCCTTTTGAAGTCAACACCTTCCCCTGCTACCTGGGCCCTGAACTACACTGATTTCCTTTCAATTTCATTAGTTTTGATTTTTTTGAAAAAAAAAGTTATACAATATATAGTCATTGGGGACTGGAATCTTCTATTTAGTAAAGTGTTTCTCAACTTTCTTTTTTATCATTGCCCCCCTAAGCAGCCTTTTTTAGTAATCTTTTTCCTAATTATCTCTCGCTTCCTTATGAAATTTAAATACCACTGATAGGCCGTATGTCTGTTTACATAGTGTGTGTATATGTGTGTGTTTTATACATAAAAAGTAAAATTTGTCATACCTCAAGAATAAACTTTTGACCACTTGGGGGCGATATTGAGGATACATGGTTTAGTAAGATGCTTTTGCCATTCATTGGTATTGTGTGTTACCAGTTGGTTCATTTTAATTGTTGGGTAATTTTGATTGTATACAGAGATATTCAAGAAATTCATAAGAATAATTGCCAGTGTGATACAAAGGTAAGGTACTAAGTGCATACTGTCACTTAAATGCGATCCTCAGTTTCTCTGGTGTCAGTAAACAGACCTGTAATCACACAGCTGTTCAAGTCAGAAATCTGGATGTAAATGAGACACTTCTTTCCCCTTCTTTCCCCAAATCCAGTCCATCAAGTCCTGCCCATGTCACCTGTGCATAATTTCTTGAATTGGGTCTCAAGAGATCAGATTTTTTAAAAAAGATTTATTTATTTATTTATTTCTAGAGAGGGAAGGGAGGGAGAAAGAGAGAGAGAGAGAGAAACATGAATGTGCGGTTGCTGGGGGCCGTGGCCCGCAACCCTGGCATGTGCCCTGGCTGGGAATCGAACCTGCGACACTTTGGTCCCCAGCCCATGCTCAATCCACTGAGCTACACCAGCCAGGGCTTAAGAGATCAGATTTTGCCATAACCCAGAACATTCTAAACCTGTAAGGATTTTAGTCCTTTTCTTAAAAAAGAAAAAGGAATTTAAATAAGGAAATGAAAATTGACTCAATTAGTGTCATTAAAAGATTACCAATTTTTTCATTTAGCTAATAATAAATTAGAGTGCAGACAATGAATTAGAAGGTGCTGAGACTATTTAGGGAAAGGCTATTCCAAAGTCCGGGGGAAAAATGATTTGCTTTATGAATCTGAGATCGGGGGGTGGGACATCGGGACGCATGCTGTGCTTTCAGTGGGGCTCAGGCAGAGAGGCGGGGCCCAGGCAGAGAGGCGGGGCCCAGGCAGAGAGGCGGGGCCCAGGCTCCGCTGCTTGGCAGTACCGTAACTACGTTGAGAAAGCTGGATATGCCCTCCTCTAGCTTTCTGCCACCTTGACTTAGCCACATTTCCTTTTCCAAACTAATCGGTGTTTTAAACAAATTAAGTATAAATATTATTGGATCACTTGCCGATGAGTTGGAAGGAATTAGACAGTTAGAATCATTCTTAAAAGGAAAAACTATTTGTTGTACCTCATGGATTCACGTCATCTTATGATTTTTTCCCAGTGGTGCTTGCAGGGCTAGGATCCATGTTTCAGTGTCTGGTGGTTTGCAGTCCAGTTTTCTGCCAACATCTTGAATAAGCACTTATATATGTCTATATTTCCCTGGGCACCTCTGCATGGGGTCTGGAACCTATTAAAAATGAATAACTAATGACTTACTGTGTTTTCGGTCTAGCGTATACAGACATGCCTATGCCATAGTCTTCATTCTGAAGGTACACAAAGTGTACGTCATGCACACAGATAAATGTCAAAATCACACACTGCTGGCACTAGGGAGGCGTGTACAGCAATCTCTGGCAGTTTGTCAGTTACATGGCACCTTGTCTCTTCCAGGTGACGCCTGAAGCATGAGTGCCCACAATAACACCTCCTGCAGCCTGATGCTGCCACCCTACTTAACCAGTCTCTACTTCACGGTGCTCATCGGGGGGCTGGCGGGCGTCATCTCCATTTTGTTCCTGCTGGTGAAAATGAACACCCGGTCTGTGACCACCATGGCCGTCGTCAACCTGGTGGTGGTCCACAGTGTCTTCCTGCTGACGGTGCCTTTCCGCCTGACCTACCTCATCCGGAAGACGTGGACATTCGGGCTGCCCTTCTGTAAGTTCGTGAGTGCCATGGTGCACATCCACATGTACCTCACGTTCCTCTTCTACATGGTGATCCTGGTCATCAGGTACCTCATGTTCTTCAAGCACAAGGACAAGGTGGAGTTCTACAGGAAACTGCACGCTGTGGCCGCCAGTGCCGGCCTGTGGCTGCTGGTGATTGTCATTGTGGTGCCCCTGATTGTTTCTCAGTACGGAAGTGCCGAGATGTATGACAAAGAACAGTGTTTTAATTTCCACAAAGAGCTTGCTCAACCAAACGTCATAATCATCAACTATTTGATCGTCGTCATTGCCATCGCGGCCACGGTGGTTCTGCTGGTGTTCCAGATCTTCATCATCACGTCGATGGTGCGGAGGCTGCGCCACTCCTTGCTGTCGCACCAGGAGTTCTGGGCCCAGCTGAAAAACCTGTTTTTCATAGGGGTCATCGTTATTTGCTTCCTTCCCTACCAGTTATTTAGGATCTATTACTTGCACACTGTGACGCCCTCGGATACCTGTAACAACGATGTGGCATTTTACAACGAAGTCTTCTTGAGTGTCACGGCCATCAGCTGCTTTGATTTGCTGCTCTTTGTTCTCGGGGGAAGCCACTGGTTTAAGCAAAAGATAATTGACCTGTGGAATTGCCTTTTGTGTCGTTAGCCACCAAACACTGTTATTCAGGTTTACTTCCTTTATCCTGGGGGTGAAAATGGGTCTCGGGAGGTAGGAGGGCAATTCTATTACATGATTGAAACCATGTCTTGAGGCAGCCAAACGAAAGGGCTGTGACATGCCAGAGCATCCATTGCATTCCAGTCCTGATTTAGCCCCCACCACCTCCAACTGATGCCCACGCAAAGACTAGTCATGCGCAATCCACCTGGAGTTGCAGTGCTGCGTTACTTTTCAACACACAGTGTCTACTCAGCCTGTCCAGGCACCAGGGCTCTAATGGTTTCTGAGTTTCACTAGTTGATTTTTGTTTCCTGAGTCAGAAACACGGTGTTTCTTAAGCCCTGTTGTCGTCGGTTCTTGACGTTCCACGTGCAACCCGAGGTAAGCTAACTCTGGCTACGATTCAGCTTGAGATCACACACTTGACTGTGCTCACCAGATAAGATGCCCATTCTACTCACACGCTGACAGAAACCCAGATAAGTGGGGAGGCCAGTAAGAGACTTTTCTAGATTGTCATAACTCTGGTAGGAGGCCACTTATCTCGAAAGCAAGAGAAACAGAACTCCTGGCCTTCTACTGTCACAAGGGTTATCCATTAAAAGGTCAAGTTCAAGGACTTGGATCAGCTCCCTCAGCATTTCCAAAAATCATTTACAAATGTACTAAATATATCTAAATGGTGGTGAGAGTGTAACTGAGAGAATATTCCCGACCAATGTGCTACTAGGCATTAAAACGAGTTCCCAAGGGAAGTGATTAATTTTTGTTTCCTCTTCTGTTTTGAAGAATTTCTAGAAGTCACGGTACAAAGTTAATTTACATTTTCCTTGGAGACAGAAAGCTGTACCGTAATCTTTAGAGTTCTCTTCAACCCTTAAAGTTGTATGTGTTTAAATAAATGAAAACCACATTCTTTAAAATAAAACTTTTGGGAAATATGTAGAAAAATCATGGGACTATGAAATTAGGATGGTAAGTTACTACATAAACTTGTGGGTTTTCTTCCCTCCTGCCCATATTTCTACTATTTCCCTCAAAGTTTCATAATCTTGAAATTTCCTAAGGAAATGATCCAGTTTCATATTGAATGCTTCAGAAAGCCTGAAGCAATTCTTGGTAGGAATAGAAGAAATAAATGACTTAAGTTAACTTTTTTTTGAGAGAGAGATACATGTTCATGATTTAAAGATTTTTCTTAATTTGTTACACTATATGGACCCATTAAATGCAACAGATGAACAAGAAATGCCCCTGTACATTTCTTTGATCACTAATTTTGATCAGTAATTTTTTACTGAGTCATAGAAATTAATTTTGAAGAAGAAAAGGCAACAACATACTGCATTTAACTTATTCCAAACTTTTTGCCTGTTTTAAATTTTCTTTTATGTATCCTTTTTTATTTTTCAAGTTTTTTATATATATGTATATATGTGTATATATATGTGTATATATTACATATATATATTTGTACTTTTTATTTGCATTCTTTTCCCATTTTTCTTAGTTTTTTTTTTCTCATTTTGACCCATAATATTTGTAAGAAAATTTCTAAGACCTATAAAACTTATAAGAAAATTTTTAACACTCATAAAATTTGTAAGAAGATTGTTATAGTGAAATATTTTAAAACTTTTAGAATTATTTATGAAAAACCCATAGACCAATGGATCAGAATAGAGAGCCATAAATGAACCCATGCCTATACAGTCAATTAATATATGACAAAGGAGGCAATTAACATATGACGATGGAGTAAAGATAGTCTATTCAATAAATGATGCTGGGAAAATGGGGCAGATGCAAAGAAGTGAAATAGACTAGCTTTTTAGTACCAGGTATAAGAATAAAACTATGGAGTAAAGACTGAAATGTAAGACCTGAAACCATACAACTTCTAGAAGAAAACATAGGCCATAAACTCTGACATTGTTTTTTCTCTCATATCTCCTTGGGGAAGGGAAACAAAAGAAAAAAATAAACAAATGGAACCACCTCTAACCAAAAAGTTTTTGCATGGCAAAGAAAATCATCAACAAAATGAAAATCATCTACTGGATGGGAGAATATATTTGCCAATGGTAAGGGGCTAATACCCAAAATTTGTAAAGAACTCATACAACTTAATGAAAAAATTCAATTACAAAATGGGCAGAAGACATGCATAGACATTTCTTCAAAGAGGACACACAGATGGCCAACAGACATATAAAAAAGATGCTCAATGTCAGTAATTATCAGAGAAATTCAAACAATGCCATGCCACCTCCCACCTGTCAGAATGGCTATTGTCAGTAAGTCAGCAAACAACAAGTGCTGGCGAGGCTGTGGGGAAAAGGGAACCCTTGTGTACTCTTGCTGGGAATGCAGACTGGTGCAGCCACTGGGGAAAGCAGTGGAGGTTCCTCAAAAAAATATAAGAAAAAACTACCTTAGGACCCAGCAATTCCACTTCTGGGAATATATCCAAAGACATCTAAGATATCCAAAACACTAATTCAAAAAGATATGTGCACCCCTATGTGCGGTGAGGCATCATTTACAGCAGTCAAGACTTGGAAGCAACCCAAGTGTTCCTCAATAGACGATTGACTAAAGAAGGCGTGGTCCAGGTGTACAGTGGACTGTTACTCCGCTATAAAAATGAAGGAAATGTTACCATTTGCAACAACATGGATGAAACTAGAGGATATCATGTTAAGTGAAATAAGTCAATCAGAGGAAGGCAAATACCATATGATTTCACTTACGTGTGGAATATAAAGAACAAAATAAATAGAAGAGAATCAGACTCCTAGATACAGTGAACAAAATGAGGGTTGCCAGATGCGGGGGGGGCTGGGGATATGGGTGGGGAAAGGTGAAGGGAGAAAGAAGTTACAGAATAGTCACGGGGATGGAACAGACAGCACAGGGAACACAGTCGGTGATATCGAGATCACCGTGTGGGGTGCCGGATGGGCACCAAAAATACCGAAGGGAACACTTTGTAAAGCATATGATTGTTTAACCACTATGCTGTGCTCCAGAAACAAGTATAAAATTTTGAAAAAAGAAACAGAATTGTATGGAAATTACACCAAGTGTCTCTGTTCGCATATGTGTCTTACTATCATAATGTCTGTTTAGCTTACAGATTGTATTATAATCTCTTCCAGGTTTCAAATACGTTGAGGTCAGACAGTTGGGCTTTTCTCTGTACTATTATATATCATAATGAAGGACCTATTTCTGTGGACCTATAAGAAATGTTACCCCAAATAAAGAAATGGCATATTCTATAATCTATCTTATTCAACAACATTTACAGAATAAATGAAAGTTTTCCAATTGCCTATGCTCTGTCCCTAATTGCTATGGAAATACATCTCTTGCAGGAGTGGGGGTGGCCGTGACTCTCAGGTCACTTTTGGATGTTACAGTTGTAAGAGGGGCACTGCTGGCGTTCGGCGGCTGGGGCCAGAGGCAGGCCATCTTGCCTCGCACGCAGCTGTTTGCACAGTGGAGAATTACCAGGTCTTGGTCCGTACTTGAATGTTCTTCAGACTTCCGTGAAGTAAAACATATGCTCCTAATAATCAGGGCAGTTACGTTTTAATCAGTGTTCATAAACAAATGGTCTTTTCTTGGTATGGTTTTAATAGTTTGAATGTCCCCAAATTGCAGCTACCGTGGATATTGGGGAAAGATTTAATGCTGTTTTCCTTCGAACTTTACTAAGGGTTGTTCACTTCCTTGGAAAATCACAGCATCAGTGGCAGCACCGTCGGTGGCAGTAAAAACGACAGCACCTGCTCGTGAACAGAACTCGCAGGGGCTGTGGTCAGGTCGGGGTGGAATGTAGGCACCAACACCAGACGGCCTCCTTTGTCTCCTTTCGTAAAGACGGAACATTCACGCGCTGAAATGCCTGTTATGTTATTACAAAGAGCTTTTGTTATGTCTATTACAGTCAGGACACCATGTCTATAATAGTTTAGGACGGTTACATTATCTATGAAGTTTATTTTGGACAGTAAAAGCATCACCACATATGTGCCATCAAGGGTAAGGCATTGGCTCCCTAAGAGTTAAGAACCACTGAGCTACCACCAACAGGATCAGTTTTAAAAGGGAGATTTACACTTACGACATTATGAACAGAAAGATAATAATTCTATATTTGGGGACTATTTAACCTCAGCTTGGTTCAATTCGAAATGATTTCTGTTGTTTCTATAGCAGTGAAAAAAGTGAGTGCAACCTTCAGGGAAAAGAGAAGAAAATACAGATGCAAATTTCCCTTTTTGAGAAGATGATGACACTTCCTTGAGCCTCATGACTCTCAGACTGGCTCACGGTCAGCAGCCACCAGTTTTGGAACCCAGCCCATGGACAGTGACAATTCTGGAGGCCCAGGCAGAAAGACTGCTTCTGGCGTCTGTTAAATGGAACTCGACTCCACCTTTGTTTGTGTCTTAATTTCCCTCTGAAAGAGTCATTGAATTTCTCAGCTTTCTTCCTCAATCCCTTATACAATAAATTAGATAGAAACAGACTATTTTACTTGTGGGGAAAATGAGCTTTGTTTGGGATGATTCAGGAAGGGCTGAAAATCCCCCAGTCCTCCCCAAATCTTCCTAGAGGGGGCCGCGATCAAAACTGTAAGTCCTCTCTGTATATCCTAGGTTAGTACATACGGCAGTTCTTCTGAAGCAGAGCCGTGGCCCAATCCATTCTCGGTCACCAGCTCTTGCATGTGTAGCCAGTGAGTTGAGCTTGTGTGAAGCTGTCATTCTTAGATTGGGTAGATTTTGTCCAGTTAACTGCTAATCAGATGAGGCATAAACTGAGGACTCTCATACTTACGGGGGCTGGTAGGAACAAGAAAACTCCCCTTGGGGTAGTAAACAAACAAACAACTAAATCCAACAGAAAATGAAGTCTTGAATTGAAGACCCGAGACCATAAAACTCCTAGAACAAAGCACATGGAGGAAACTCCTTGACACGCTTCTTAGCCGAGATTGGATACCAACGCATTTGGATTTGACACCAAAAGTAGAGGCGACAAAAGCAAAAATAAGCAGGTGGAACAGCGTCAAAGTAAAAAATGAAGGAGGCCATCAACACACTGAACGGCGACCTCCCAAATGAGGGAAAATGTTTCACATCCCACAACCTGGTCAGCGGTAAATATCCAAAATACCTAACGAACTCCCAGTACTCAACTGCAACCCCCACCCCCAACCAATCCAATTAAAAACTGGGTAGAAGCTGAATGGGTATTTTTTCCCAAAGAGGACATACAGGTACGTGAAAAGATGCTCAGCATCACTCATCATCCTGGAAACTCCAACCAAAACCACAAGGAAATATCATCTCACACCTGTTAGAATGGCTGCGAAATAAACGACAAGAAACGCGGTGCTGGCGAGGATGTGGAGGAAAGGGAACCTTTGTGCACTCTTGGTGGGAATGGAAATTGGTACAGTCACTGTGGAAAACACTGTGAAGTTCTCTCAAAAAAAGGTTTAAAAAAGAACTATCAGATGACCTCGCCACCCAATTTCTGAGTATTTACCTGAAGAAATGGAAGGCGAGATCTTGAAAAGACATCTGCCTTTCCATGTACTTTACAACCTTATCCCCGAGAGCCGAGATAGGGAAACAATCTCTCTCTAGACCCATCTTCTTTACCCACCGATGGGCATTTAGGTCTGTCTATCTATCTATCTATCTATCTATCATCTATCTACCTATCTGTCTACCTACCTATCTACACACACACACACACACACACACACACACACACATACATAGCTATATATGGTTTGTGGAATCTTAAACAAATCGAAGTTATAGAAGCAGAGGGTGCAACAGTGTGGTTAGGAGGGGGGAGGTGGGGGATGGGGAAGTGTTGGTTAAGGGTACAAAGTTATAGTGGTCAGATAAATAAGTTTAGAGGTCTAATTTGCAGGCGTGATGATCATACTTATTACTGAATAAACATGGGAAATACCTAAAAGAGTAGATTCAGGTGCACACACAAAAAATGGTACCTGTGAGGAAATAAAGCTGATTAGCTTGACAGTAGAGATCTCTTCACTATGTCTAATCAGCAGGTTGCACACCTTAGGTAGAGCTCATTTTCATTTTAAAAATATTCTAACTATACTAGTAGCTTCTACTTCTGTCATACTGAAAATATTCTCACTACAGTTTACAAAAGGCAAATGTGTTCTTTGTTCTGACACTAGGTGGCAGCCTAGAGGCACAAACTGCATCTGCTTCTCCATGCTTCTTGAGTTTTAAGTTTAATATATTTTTAAAAAAATGATCGGGGGAGACAAGAAAGGAAAATGAAGTAAGAATAGTGGGCTTTTAGGGTCCTCAGAACTCTGCACGAGACACTTTTTTTTCCTTGAAAAGCTTACTTCATAGCAACTGTTTTCCTGCAGCAAGTGGACTGAGATGTTATTAAAATGCATTTCTTCAGCTGTCGGAGCAAAAGCAATTCTGAAAGCAATTGTTGTTTTGTTTTGCTCATATTTAGGGACCTGTGTGCTTTATTTCAATAATAGTTCACTGCAACTAACTTTTGAACCCAAATGAAGTTGATTCTTACAAATTGGAGTTAGCTGACTTTTTTTTTTTTTTTAATGCTTGGCGATTAGTATAACATGTGAATGCCTTTGAGACCAGGTTTCAGGAAACTTGCCCACTTTTGAAATCTTGAAAAGGCTGGAGTGAGGCCAGCAAGCCAGTTTCTATCACAGGTCTCTCCCCCTCAGCATCAGCCTTTGGTTCATGCTCAGAAACTTTTACCCTTCTGACTTGTAGATAGTGTGATGGTACAGGACTTATTTACTTATCTATTTATCTATTTATTTTTTTAAATTAGGAAGTGATGAGTTTGGGTTTTTTTGGTAGGGTTTTATTTATTTATTTTTAGAGAGAGTGAAAGGGAGGGATTGGGAATCGCCCTGCTTGGTTTCA